AGGGACACAAATTCTTGCTTCCACCTGGTTCATTCCTATTAGTACTCATTATCTGCCTCGGTAATACATTAAAATGTGTTTGTTTGCATATATATATCTATATATATTTTTCTTTTATTCTTTTCAGGTGTTTTAGCCGACCCCACTTAGTGGGAAAAGGCTTTGTTGTTGTTGTATTCTTTTCAGGTGTTTATACTGCCTAAAATTTGCAAAATTCTTATTTCAGGAAAACTCAAAACCTTCTAAGAGCTTGCTGGCAATTGCAGTTGGAATAAAGCAGAAAGAGATAGTGGACAAAATTGTCAAAAAGGTAGTGATATAATTGGCTCATACCCTTCACATTAGAATATTTTCTCCATATTATTCTAAATATTTGCCGTTGTAATGCAGTTTCTATCAAGTGATTTTGTTGTAATGCTTTTTCATTATGATGGTGCGGTGGATAAATGGAGGGATTTACCTTGGAGTGATCATGCCATACACGTGTCTGTGATGAATCAAACAAAATGGTAAACGGTTATTCTCTCACATGGTTACTTAAACTATAGCTAGTTACCCTTGGGTGGGAATACTCTATACGTGTGCAGATTACATCTTAATGAAACAGTACTGTATGATGACATAGGTGGTTCGCCAAACGTTTCCTGCATCCAGATATAGTTTCGGAGTACAAATATATTTTTCTTTGGGATGAGGACCTTGGAGTTGAGAATTTTGACCCGATGCGGTAAGCATTGTCGCCTAACTTTTTAGAATGATCTTGGCATCTGTATAGTGATTACTGATGAATATTGCATATCTTGTCTGCTATGATCCTAATATAAAATAGACAATATGACATACACATGCGTTTATTTTCGGCTTACAAGACTTCTGACTGGACATCTGTACATATAACTTTAAAAATTTCCCATTTGATAATGTTCATGTTGACTGGAATATGGTAATTAAAATGTAGTTAACTGGAATATGAAATGGTGTAATCACAAAGTCATTCAATCAATGTTTGACAGACAAGAAAATAGGAAACTGATTTGATATCACACAGATATGTAATGCATTGTGTTTTGAACATGTCCTTCAGATATCTATCCATAATTCAAGAAGAGGGACTGGAAATATCACAGCCGGCACTTGATCCTGACAAGTCAGAGGTGTATCATCCAATCACTGCACGTGTGAAGAATTCAAAAGTGCACAGGTTAGTGTAGGATGTTTTCTGGAAAGTGGATTTCCTTGGTACCTGTAGTGTCTAATATTGAAGAGACCAATGTAGCTTAGGACTCTTAGTACTTGGACTGCATCCTTGCTTTAAACCGATCTCTATACATACTATAGTCTTGAACTTCCAAAATGAGAAAACCTAGAAATTCCAAATCGTATCATCTCTTTTTATTCCAAATTCTCTCTTCTTTGGTTATCTTATTCAAAACCTAGTATACATAAGTTCATTTGGAGGTTTTAGTTTTGTGGAGTTTTCTTTGTTCTGTTGGAATAACAGTTTTGTAGAGTTAGAGCTACAGTTGACTTTGAGAAGAATGGCCAAACCATATGTACTTGCTTTGTGCTCTTGTACTGTTACTTTATACTCTCTCACTCTTGCAGTGGTTCTTTTCATCAATTGCTTTCTGGCATAGCGACCGCTTTTTGGGATTTTGTATTAACTTGTACTTCTCTCAGTTTAAGATTTTATTTCACACTGTGGGATATCAAAGTATACATAGAATCGACTTTGATCTGTCTTTGCCTACTTTTTCAACAGACGGTTTTATAAGTATAAGGGCAGTGGAAGGTGTGACGACCATAGCTCTGCTCCTCCTTGTGCAGGGTAAGCAACTGCCTATGCGCTATTCTCTGCGTTGTAACTTTATCAAGCATTACTTTGCTGAAAAGTTTCCTTCGGGTGTTTGGTATGGTCTGTTATAACAGTTGGGTGGAAATGATGGCACCTGTATTTTCAAGAACTGCTTGGCAATGTGTATGGTACATGATCCAGGTATACAACCCCTACAAAACCAATACCAACCACCTTCACAGCATCATTACTTATTTTTTGGTAGTAAACAACAGTATACGACAGAAATATTGATGAGTATGTGCAAATAGATTTCATTATTTAAGCCCCGCCATTTTTTTAAATAATGGTGATGCTGAATAATCCGTGTAAGTTAAACACAAAAGGATGGCTTGTAGTAGAAACAACCATTAAACGGAAAAGAAATATTTTGGAGAATTTGTACTATTTTCCAAGAAGAGAATCTGGTTGGTCAGGTCAGTAGCCTTGCTATCAAGTATACAGTTACTATGCACTGTATTTCTTCTGAAGTTTCGGAAGTCAAATTGGATATGATAAATCTGTACTATATTTCTATTTGTTCTTTATAGTAATTTTCCTAGAAGAAACTTTCTCGTGATTATTCTCTGATTATTTATTATCCCTACAGAATGATTTGGTCCATGCATGGGGCCTGGATGTGCAGCTTGGTTATTGTGCACAAGTAATTTTCCTGCCTTATAGCTTCCATTTATAATTCTCTTAGTTGTTGTTCACAAGTACTTTGTGATAACAGAACCTTTTATCTTTCAGGGAGATCGAACACAAAACGTTGGTGTGGTTGACTCAGAGTATATAGTTCATCTTGGTCTTCCTACGCTTGGTGTCTCAGATGGAAATAAGGCAAGCATCATGGCATCTTGGGTCGTTTAACTATTTAAAATAGTAACGTGGAAGACTTGTCTTGATTGTTATTCCATACATCTACAGATGCAGCATCATTAGTGTGAAATACTTGGATTGATGCAATATGCAGTCTATAAACATTTCAAACATACTATTTATTTTGTTCTAGCAGGATAAGCTCGCCTATGGTCTTGACGTTCCATATTATTTTCTGACCTCTTTTCCATCTGTTCCTTTGCATAGGTGACTAATTCCCCAGATCCTTCTCAGAAAGGGGACTCGAAAGCATTGGTGTGTTTTGAATTTTTCCTGTACTAGATTGTTTTGTTTATTCAGTCAGTGTATTAGATTCTTTATTGACCTATAATGTGAGTTCATCATTTGTAATTTCAGGCCCCATCTGCCTCCGATAAAGTCAATGATAGATCTAAAGTAAGCATTCTTAATTTGTCTAATTTCGCAAACTGCTCTGTCCTGTTACAATCTTGTATTATCTCCCTCTCCGTGCACACCCACACATTGGCAGACAATGTAAATATTTTGTAAATTCATATACATTGTTTGCAACTACTTATCCGGTGAATGTTATTTGTTGGCAGGTTAGGATGCAGTCCTTTATTGATATGCAGATCTTTAAGGAAAGATGGAGTAATGCAGTAAAGGAGGAAAAATGTTGGGTTGACCCGTATCAACTAACAACAAACTGAAGCGAGTGTAAATCCTATTTATAGGACATCCATCATGCAAAATGCAAGGTTGGTGGCCATTCTTATACAGACAACAGAAACCAGAATAGCGTAACTGTGCATACATTTATCGCGTGAGAATATATCGCAATTGGTGTATAGAATTTTGTGGTGAGCCAAATTCATTTGAAATGCCGACTGACATGGAAGTTGTGATGTGAATTTAACTCACCAATGTTGTATAGCTGGTGTTGGTGCCTGGTGACACAATGCATTGTTGTATTCCAGGCAAGAATGATCGGACCAGCTTTCGTGTTGTGATCATTGTAAATTTCAGCATATAAAAGGATCTTCCTGTCGATGTGTGTAAACCTATTGATTCATTGGTTTTTGATAACGTGTGTAAAGCGGTTCAGAATAATGTTTAGGGTGAGGGAGGTTTTCAGCTTCTGTTTTGTTCTGCGAATTTGCTGTCTGTTGAGATGCAATTGTGAGTAAAGCCACCTGTTTATCTTTGTTGGTTTCTCTCAATTACAACACAGATATAAGATTATATCTCAATACTGAATGACATGAGGTTTCGATATACAAAAACGATCTTTAGGGTTGCGTAGCGTCTGTGATAATACGTAGGCTCTTGCATGCGTGGGAGGCAAGTAGAATCCTACCCTAATTACAATTGAAAATTATATTTCCGTAATACATGTGATAATTACGGATGAATACACACACCACAAACTGGGAAAGCCTGATCGGACAAGTTTGGAACAAAGAAAACCATGGTGAGGTTCATGAAGCGCCTTGTTAAGGAGGTCAGCAGGCTGATCGTAGAAGAAATATCGCAAACTCAATGACTGCCAAGAGCTACATTTTCCAGGAACAAAATGATAATCAAGTTCAATATGACGTATGCGAGCATGATGAACTGGATTAGAAGCAAGGTAATCGGCACTAAGATTGTCTCAGTGCGGTAGGGGCGATGCCGATGTGCTCTACTTCATGGCGCTCTAAACCATTATGTTGACATCATGTGGCACTCCTCAGTTTGACTCTACCTCGGCGGCATGTTTTAAAGAAAGCAAATTTCGTAGCGGATGCCATTACAAATGTGCGCCATTCTATTGATGAGCACTATTTATGGATTTAGAAAAACTATATCCCGTCGTCTGCTAGGAATGCTGTTTTCTTTTTAGACCGAGTTTTCATCTATCTACTTGTACGAAAGCGCGTTTTCTTGAGGAGCAGAGAACCCACACTACTGTATCTCTCGCATGTCAACGGTGAGCAGAGAACCCACTGTATCTCCCACATGTCAACAGTGCCATCACCATTGTGGTCGAATAGGTCAAAGATTCGGGGTGGTAGAGGGATTAGAGACGACGTTTTCATTGCTTTCTTTACGTCTTCGAATTGGACACCATACATGATTTGTTGTATGGCACACCGGTTTATGTGTTGCACCGACTTTAAGAATGGCTAGATTGAATGTTTGAATTACAGCATGCAAATCTAACCGTCCATTTTAGCGGTGCATCCCATACACCGGTGACTCATGCATTGTAGAATTTTCGTGCAACGGATCAAAATAAATGTAGCCGATAGCAAGGAAAGTTAAAATCAATCTCTTCCAAAGAAACAAGATACAGGTGCAGTTAAATATATAAAAACCACCACATATATAGATGTCTTCTGTATATACATTACATAACTACATTCCAACATCGACTTAGCAGACGGAAAAATGTTTCCAACATTTCAACAAAAAGCACGGAACACCAGACTGGGTTTTCCGGTCCTTTATTGGATTTACTCAATACTGCAACTAGATATACCTATGCTTAGATGAGAGTTGCGGTACGGGAAACCCTGAGTTCTCGAGGGTTATAAACGTCTAAAAAGTCCAGCAGATAAATAAGCAACTAAACACAACAAGCTTCTTTATTTGCTCAACCGTGTAAACCACCCGCAAACACAGATTTGGGTTATGACATATTAGGCATATAGACATCTAACAAGGCCAAAAGATAAGAGAAGCAAGTAAAGTTGAAAAGAAGCTTCACCTAAACTGTGGGACTCCAACGCGTATATATTGGAGCAGTCAATATAAGAAAAAACCCACTTCATGGGAACCAGGGGTCTTGGTTCAGAGGCGGGTCCATAACATTATAACCAACAGGTGACAAGTGCAAGGGGGAGCCAAATCTTATGTCGACATCTTCGTTGGAATTGTTACCAAATGGAGAATCAAATGCCATCAACTGATCAAACTGAACTTCCGGGGATGAAAAATCTGGATGAAGCATAGGCATTGGGGACTGTTCCGACATGTTCATGTTGCGTCCTATGTCCAGCCCTTGACCATATAAGTTATCATTCATTGGAAATTGAAAGTTAGCCTGCTGCTGATTGCAATCATCTACATCATTTAGGTTTCCAGGATTGCAGTTCTTGTTTTGCTGTATATTACTATCATAGAATGACATAAGCTCGGATATCATTTTCTGCCCATCCTCAGCAATTCCAAGCCCCGAAGAATCAAACCTACCTGACTGGTTCACTGGTTGTTGAATTCCAATTCTCGAAGCATCGAACCTATTTGACTGGTTCACCTGCTGTTGATTTCCAAGTCCCGAAGCATCGAACCTACTTGATTGGTTCACCTGCTGTTGATTTCCAAGTCCCAAAGCATCAAACCCACTTGACTGGTTCACTGGTCGTTGAATTGCTGGTGTTGGTGGTTGAGCAATGGGTAGAGAGAAGTCCACAGGTTTCTCATTGTGAAGCTGAAAGCTTGACATTCCCAGAACTTGTGAAGAATTATTCCGGTATGGACAATTCAACTGATGATTGTTTCTTGCAGTTATGTCGAGAAAGCCTAGGCGATAATCATGATACGGGCACTGCAGATATTCGCAGGCGTAATACTTCTGATCTAACATCATTTGTGGCTCTTCAGCCAGCTGCTTCCTCTTCGGACCAAAATCCGAGTTGATCTCGATGTGCTCTCCCTTAACCTGAGGTACCACCTGCCTCTCTCTTTGTCCAGTCGCTCCAATGATGAAGTGATTAACAAGAGGTTTGCAATCCTCTATTTCAACATTTTCGTCATCATCAACCCCTTCAACATCATAATCACTAGTACCACTGATTGCGAGAGACTCACTCCCACCAGCAAATGGAGGTGGACATCTATCAGGATATAGCCTCCGGGCCAGAGCTTCCTCCTGGTTTATAATGGCTAGCCAAGTGGCGCTCTCCTTAGCAGTCATTTTGTCCTGCAAACATTTGGACTGACGAACAAGCTTGCGGATCTTTGCAATATCTGGCGACATGTGCTTAATCACAGCCGTGAGAACACCAACCTTCCAAGCCTTCTTCAGATCATGAGGCTTCTTGTATGGGGGAGGACACTGATCCTGGGGGAGATTTAGTTGCGGCCACCATTCCTCGTTACCAGTAGGCCACCAAGGAGGAGCAACACCCTTCTCCAACGGGAAACGTCTTTGGGGTGGATTGCAGTGCTGCATCAAAGCTGACAAAAGTGAACCAAGAGTGGTGTCTTGGAGCTCCTGTAAGGTGTGAGGAGTGGATGCCACTGCACTGAAGTCTTCATTCTTCCCAGGGATTGAATGATCTGCCTGATACTTAGAAATCGCAGCCGGGCCATTACGATCAAATCTTACTTTTTCCTTCCACCATGCTCGCAGATTGTCAGAGGCGCCACTCACTGGTTTTCCTTTTTCAGGGATAATTCCATAAACAAAACCCTGAGCTTTGCAAACTTCCATCATTTTCAGCATATATTTCAGGATTCCATCTTGTGCCCGTGACATCTTCTTCCTCCGCGCTTGTTCCTGTGATTGACGCTGTCTTGCATTGTCAACTCCTTCCTTTCCCTTAGTTTGTTCTTTCAGCCTCTTCAGTAGCATTCGATCTCTCCACATCCTCTTCTCAAGCTCATCAACATCCATTTCTTCATCACTATAATCCTCCTCCACAGTTGCCTCTTGTTCATGTTCTGGAGCTGCATCCCCTTCCCCAGATGGAGCCAAAAGATAGTCAAGATTACCAGAGAAACCTAACTCCTCAAAGATCACCATTTAGCACCGACACAAACCACGTCAACTTCTCCGCCCTTCTCTCACTCGTAAAAAGATTTCCAATCTTGCGCACAGTACTTAGCTTTAAAACTTCTAAGAGCCAAGGCCCGGAAATGTAAAGAAAATCAAATCTTCTGCAAATGAAATAAATTACAAAAAACTCAGTTCAACCCATAATTGTATCAAATCATAGATCAGGTACAATGAACTAGCAGTAATGACTTTAATTCAATGAAAGTTTTAAGTTTACAAGGGAAAGTCATAACTTCATATATACGGCTAATCACAAATATAATACCGTAAAGAAATCAGAACCGCTACCATATATTAGATGGGTATCAATCCAGCAACTAATGCAAACAAGGGAACGTAACGGATCTCCTTGTTTTCACATTCAAAATGAAAAAGAAAATAAAACAACCAAAAGATAATCCCAACACATGGCCCTCATCACTACAAGCAACAAAAGATGTGCGGTTCTTGAATAACCAATAAAAAACGAGAAAACAAAAAATGAAGAAAAACATATGATATCCACCAGGGTCACGAAAATCGCAAGGTAGTAGCAATAAAAACCAAATATAAGCAACGCGTAATACCCTTCAACCGCGAACGGACCAAAGCTGAAAGAACAGAGCCAAGCACCTCCAGATCTACCATCATCAAGATTCATTTTCTTTACAATAACGCATTATTAACGAGTATTGACAGCACCAAGTTTCGGGTTTTTAATTACTGTTTACACAAACTGATATAGCTGATAACGCCGGTTTACAGCAAATATACCACCTATCAAACCACTAATCCGTTTTCATCATTTAATATAAATCCGGAAATTCAACGGATCTATCAATCCAGATCCAATCATATCATTTCCAAATTTTGCAAAACAAAATATTAAAACACAACGAAAAAAAAAACCCTGGAAATAAAAATCACACAGAAAATAAAAAACTATAGTAAACAACAAGGAACACCAAACAAAACCCAGATAGAATCTATTACATATAACTGGAAATGACTAAGAGAAGAACCCTAGAGTGTAAGATGCAATAGAACCAAACAGATCAACCATAAAATACCTTGAAAAGTCACAGATTGAGAACAAATATATTTATTTATTAATTAATTAAGCAGATAAGAACAGATTAACCTAAACAATAAACAGAACAATCAGATATGTAAAAAAAAAAGCCTAATACTTAATAAAAATTAAAAATTAAAAATTAAAAAGCAGAAAATGAAGGTACCTGATTGATTGATATCATGTGGTTGTAGGAGGCATTGGAGCTCCTGAAGCACTCTCTGATTGCTCAGACAGAGAGAAAAGAGAGATTTTTTTTCTTTTCTTTTACGGGTCAGAGGAGAGAGAAGAAGATAGAGTGGTGGCCACTAGCTGGCTGTAGGGACAAGGATATCAAGAGAAGCAAGCAACAGTGACCTATTTAACTAGGGTTAGGTTACGTTTTAACCGCGGTTGATGCGTGGGGTAATCTCTTGGTTTTTGGATGTGGAATAAATGAAGGGGTAATTGATTTCATTTTTGTTTGTTTGGGTTGCATCTTCAGAGAAATGTCAAAAATTCCATTCAGTAATAACAGTAAAATAAAAAGACAATGCTAATGATTTCTAATCGAAATGTCAATTTATATGTAGCATAACGTGAAATAACAGCTAAACTTTAGAATTTATGAGAGTGTCATGTGGCTATCAAATTTGATATCCCGAGTCGTATTATTAAATTTGGATAGAATAGTTTACAACATTCACTAGGATATAGAATAACTATTTAGAAAATTATGTAGTTTTCTTTAGAAATGTTTTTTTAATTGAGGTACACATCATTATGTACAAACTCTAGTTTTTTTTTTTTTTTTTTGTAAAAACACTATTATCTATACTAAGACCATCTCCAACTTTTGGAGATAAAACTTAAAAATTTAAGCCAAAAAATTTTACGCCATAACCTAGAAATTACTTTTATCTTCCAATCCTTATGGCTTAAAATTTTAGCTCGAGATTATTAACTAATGATTTTAGCCTTTTTTTTTAGTAACTTTTCTGAAAATAAAATTTATATAGACTATCTTAATTTATTTTGATGAACATTTTAATCTAAAAATATTCACATTCCAATAAGTAATTAAAAATCATACAAATACACAGATATTTATAAAGTTTTAAGTGAAATTTGATTTTAAATAATTTAAGACCTTAGATGTCACATCCTGGCCCGGGTCCTTTCCACCACCGTAGCACAATATTGTCTCTTCGGGCTTACCATTCCCTCACGGTTTTGTTTTTGGGAACTCATGAGCAACTTCTCAGTGGGTCACCCATCCTGGGAATGCTCTGACCTAATTCTCGCTTAACTTCAGAGTTCTTACAAAACTCGAAGCCAGTGAGCTCCTAAAAGCCCTCGTGCTAGGTATGGATGAGAATATATATTTAAGGATCACTCTTCTGAGCAATGTGGGATGTTACAATCCACCCCCTTAGGGGCCCGACGTCCTCGTCAGCACACTTCCGGCCAGGAATTGGCTTTGATACCAAATTGTCACATCCTGGTCTGGGCCCACCACATCCCGGGCATGTTCCACCACCGTAGCACAATATTGTCCGCTTTGGGCTTACCATTCCATCACGGTTTTGTTTTTGGAAACTCACGAGCAACTTTCCAGTGGGTCACCCATCCTGGGAGTGCTCTGGCCTCCTTCTCGCTTAACTTCGGAGTTCCTACAGAACCCAAAACCAGTGAGCTCACAAAAGGCCTCGTGCTAGGTAGGGATGAGAATATACATTTAAGGATCACTCCCCCAAGCGATGTGGGATTTAAGGATCACTCTCCTTGACGATGTGGGATGTTACATTAGATTTACTTTTGAGCCATCAAAATTTTTTTATTAAATAAAACTAATAAAAATGGTTTGAAAACTTTGAGTTTTAACGATAAAGACAAAATAAAGGGTAAAGTGAATAGTATCATGATTGACTTTTTAGTGTAAAAATATGATTTTTCGTTAAAATGAACAGTACCAGAAACTTTTCGTTAAAGTTCCCTTTTGATTACCATTATATTTGATCTCATTTAATCACAGTCGTTAGATTATAAGTAAAATTGAAATATGACAGTTTGATGGGTCCAAAATAGTTTTAAGTCAGGCTTAAATCATGTGGGAATTTAGCCCAGAAATATATTTTATTCCCATAACTTTATTTTAGCCAAATAGTTGGAGATGGTCTAAAGAAGTATGAGAGTGGACTAAGCCTCACAATAGCCTATCAATAATGTTGTTCAAATTCGCTTTTGATGAGATTTGAACCTAAAACTTCTCAGTTATAAGTGAAAAATAATATCACTATACTGTAGTACAAAATGACTATATATAACCTCTAGTTTAATGTCTCTTTGTTGCTTAAAGACTTTGTATGTTGTAGTTAGAAGTGACGTTTTCGTCTTGAAAAAAGTTAGATGTGACGCCAGTGTGTACTTTTTTGTTATTGATGTCTCTTGATGACATCAAGCAACGTATTTTTAAATAAAAAAAAGTTTTTCTAAATATTCACCTTTGAGTTTGGATGGATTTGTATACTATCCTATGTTCTATCTTAAATTTTTTTAATAAAGCATCTTACTTAACAAAAATTTGAGAATCATATACTCCATCTATGCATGACATGTCCCATTTTTTAAGACAAATGAACAGAAAATGGTATAAATTGTTCCTTAATTTTAACTTAAATAGAGTAATGATTTATCAATTAAAAATTCATAATCATGGATCTTTTTTTTTTTCCTGTTGAAATGACCATTGGTCTCTTAATTCATCAAAACGTGCATCTACAGTTTTTTTTGTCAACTCCGTCAGAGTTCGGTCAAAATGAGTCATGTAGAAAAGATCATTGCTATAATTTGATTAAAGTTGATGGACTATTGCTCCAATTGAGTTAAAATTGAGAAATCATTTCTCCAATTGTGTTAAAGTTAAGGGATTATTGGTACAATTTTCTCATTTGATTTTTCATATTTGCCTTTTAGTCCAGCCTTAGGTGCTTGGCACAGACTCATTTTAACAAAAAAAACCTAACGAAACTGACGAAAAAAATGGTAGGTGCACGATTTGATCACTATTGCGTGGGCCGCAAATAGTCTTATCTTATATAGCTGCGAGCATAGAACTCAATGAAACAGATTATTATGAGGTCAATCTTTGAGTTATATTATAATTAAAAACTAAAAGAAAATTAAAAGGGGGATTTGGGCAAAGCTTAGCCCAATAACCCCATCTCTTCCTCGACTTCATCCCATCTCCTCTGTGCTTGTCTGCAACCAATAATCCCATCTGGGTTCGGGAAGCTTCTTCTGCCGCCCTATAGATCTTCAACCTCTTCTTCCACGTGCAACCTTCTTCCTCCCTGAACTTCTTCCCTCCCTTAGTTTGTTCCTGCGATTGTTCCTCCGCGCTTGTTCCTGTGATTGACGCTGTCTTGCATTGTCAACTCCTTCCTTTCCCTTCATTTGTTCTTTCAGCCTCTTCAGATTGTCAGAGGCGCCACTCACTGGTTTTCCTTTTTCAGGGATAATTCCATAAACAAAACCCTGAGCTTTGCAAACTTCCATCATTTTCAGCATATATTTCAGGATTCCATCTTGTGCCCGTGACATCTTCTTCCTCCGCGCTTGTTCCTGTGATTGACGCTGTCTTGCATTGTCAACTGCTTCCTTTCCCTTAGTTTGTTCTTTCAGCCCCTTCAGTAGCATTCGATCTCTCCACATCCTCTTCTCGAGCTCATCAACATCCATTTCTTCATCACTATAATCCTCCTCCACAGTTGCCTCTTGTTCATGTTCTGGAGCTGCATCCCCTTCCCCAGATGGAGCCAAAAGATAGTCAAGATTACCAGAGAAACCTAACTCCTCAAAGATCACCATTTAGCACCGACACAAACCACGTCAACTTCTCCGCCCTTCTCTCACTTGTAAAAAGATTTCCAATCTTGCGCACAGTACTTAGCTTTAAAACTCCTAAGAGCCAAGGTTTGCCACTCAACCCGGAAATGTAAAGAAAATCAAATCTTCTGCAAATGAAATAAATTACAAAAAAACTCAGTTCAACCCAAAATTGTAGCAAATCATAGATCAGGTACAACGAACTAGCAGTAATGACTTTAATTCAATGAAAGTTTTAAGTTTACGGCTAATCACAAATACGGCTAATCACAAATATAATACCGTAAAGAAATCAGAACCGCTACCATATATTATATGGGTATCAATCCAGCAACTAATGCAAACAAGGGAACGTAACGGATCTCCTTGTTTTCACATTCAAAATGAAAAAGAAAATAAAACAACCAAAAGATAATCCCAACACATGGCCATCATCACTACAAGCAACAAAAGATGCGGTTCTTGAACAACCAATAAAAAACGAGAAAACAACAAAATGAAGAAAAACATATGATATCCACCAGGGTCACGAAAATCGCAAGGTAGTAGCAATAAAAACCAAATATAAGTAACGCGTAATACCCTTCAACTGTGAACGGGCTAAAGCTGAAAGAACAGAGCCAAGCACCTCCAGATCTACCATCATCCAGATTCATTTTCTTTACAATAACGCATTACTAACGAGTATTGACAGCACCAAGTTTCGGGTTTTTAATTACTGTTTACACAAACTGATATAGCTGATAACGCCGGTTTACAGCAAATATACCACCTATCAAACCACTAATCCGTTTTCATCATTTAATATAAATCCGGAAATTCAACGGATCTATCGATCCAGATCCAAACATATCATTTCCAAATTTTGCAAAACAAAATATTAAAACACAACGAAAAAAAAAAAAACCCTGGAAATATAAATCACACAGAAAATTAAAAACTATAGTAAACAACAAGGAACACCAAACAAAACCCAGATAGAATCTATTACATATAACTGGAAATGACTAAGAGAAGAACCCTAGAGTGTATGATGCAGTGGAACCAAACAGATCAACCATAAAATACCTTGAAAAGTCACAAAATTGAGGACAAATATATTTATTTATTAATTAAGCAGATAAGAACAGATTAACCTAAACAATAAACAGAACAATCAGATATGAAAAAAAACTAGTACTTAATAAATAAATAAATAAATAAAAAAGCAGAAAATGAAGGTACCTGACTGATTGATATCATGTGGTTGTAGGAGGCATTGGAGCTCCTGAAGCACTCTCTGATTGCTCAGACAGAGAGAAAAGAGAGATTTTTTTTCTTTTCTTTTACTGGTCAGAGGAGAGAGAAGATAGAGTGGTGACCACTAGCTGGCTGTAGGGACAAGGATATCAAGAGAAGCAAGCAACAGTGACCTATTTAACTAGGGTTAGGTTACGTTTTAACCGCGGTCGATGCGTGGGGTAATCTCTTGGTTTTTGGATGTGGAATAAATGAAGGGGTAATTGATTTCATTTTTGTTTGTTTGGGTTGCATCTTCAGACCATCTCCAACCCTTGGGCTAAAAGCCAAATTTTTTAGCCTGGAAAATTTAGCTTTTAGCCAAGAAACATCTTTTCTGCTCCAACCCTTCTACCCTAAAATTTTAGCCCGGAATTATTAAAGAATGAAATTAGCCTAAATTTTTTTCTTAAATCAATTTTTTTTTTAAATAAATATGTAGATTATTGTAAATTAATTTTATGAACATTTTAATATAAAAAAATTTAAATTCCGATAAACATTTCGCATTTAGCCCGGGGGGAAAACTGGAGGGTATTTGGCCCAGAAATAGCATTTGGCATTTAGCCTAAAATTTTAGCATGGGTTGGAGAGTGTTTGGGGTGGTAATTTGGGGGGTAATTTGGCTTTTAGCCCAGGGTTGGAGATGGTCTCAGAGAAATGTCAAAAAATCTATTCAGTAATAACAGTAAAATAAAAAGACAATGCTAATGATTTCTAATCGAAATGTCAATTTATATGTAGCATAACGTGAAATAACAGCCAAACTTTAGAATTTATGAGAGTGTCACGTGGCTATCAAATTTGATATCCCGAGTCGTATTATTAAATTTGGATAGAATAGTTTACAACATTCACTAGGATATAGAATAACTATTTAGAAAATTATGTAGCTTTCTTTAGAAATGTTTTTTTTTTAATTGAGGTACACATCATTAGTGTACAAACTCTAGTTTTTTTTTTTTTTTTTTTTTTTTTTTTTTTTTTTGTATAAACATTATTATCTACACTAAGACCATCTCCAACTTTTGGAGATAAAGCTTAAAAATTTAAGCCAAAAAATTTTAAGCCATAACCTAGAAATCGTTTTCTCCTCCAATTCTTATGGCTTAAAATTTTATCTCGAGATTATTAACTAATGATTTTAGCCTAATTTTTTTTCAGTAACTTTTCTGAAAATAAAATTTATATAGACTATCCTAATTTATTTTTATGAACATTTTAATCTAAAAACTATTCACATTCCAATAAGTAATTAAAATTCATACAAATACACATACATTCATAAAATTTTAAGTGAAATTTGATTTTAAATAATTTAAGAAGTTAGATTTACTTTTGAACCGTCAAATCTTTTTTATTACCATTAGATTTGATCTCATTTAATCACAGCCGTTAGATTATAAGTAAAAACACAAAAATGTTTGAAATATGACAGTTTAGTGGGTCCAAAATAGTTTTAAGTCATGCTTAAATCCTGTGGGAAATTAGCCCAAAGATATATTTTCTTCCCATGACTTTAGTTTAGCCCAATAGTTGGAGATGGTTTGGGGGGATTTTAAGGCTTATATTTTAAGTTTTATCTCATGGGTTGAAGATGATCTAAAGAGGTATGAGAGTGGGCTAAGCCTCACAATGGTCTATCAATAATATAGTTCAAATTCGTTTTTTGTGAGAATTGAACCTAAAACTTCTCGGTTACAAGTAAAAAATAATATCATTATACCGTATTACAAAGTGACTATATATAACCTCTAGTTTAATGTCTCTTTGTTGCTTCAAGGACTTTGTATGTTGTAGTTAGATGTGACGCCTCTAGTTTAATGTCTCTTTGTTGCTTCAAAGACTTTGTATGTTGTAGTTAGATGTGACGCTAGTGTGTATTTTTTTTGTTATTGATGTCTCTTGATGATATCAAGCAACGTATTTTTAAATAAAAAAAAAGTTTTCTAAATATTCACCTTTGAGTTTGGATGGATTTGTATACTATCCTATGTTCTATCTTAAATTTTTTAATAAAGCATCTTACTTAACAAAAATTTGAGAATAATATACTCCATCTGACATGGCCCATTTTTTAAGACAGATGAACAGTAAATGGTATAAATTGTTTCTTAATTTTAACTTAAATGAAGTAATAGTTTATCAATTAAAAATTCATGATCATTGATTTTTTTTTTTGAAGTTTTAACGAAAAACCCATGGTACTGTTCATTTTAACGAAAAACCACATTTTTACACTAAAAAGTCAAACATAGTACTATTCACTTTACCTTTTATTGTCTTTATCATTAAAACTCAAAGTTTTCAAGCATTTTTCATTAGTTTTCCTTTTTTTTTTTTATGTTGAAATGACCATTGGTCTCTTAATTCATCAAAACGTGCATCTACAGTTCTTTTTGTCAACTCTGTCAGAGTTCCGTCAAAATGAGTCATGTAGAAAATATCATGGCTATAATTGGATTAAAGTTGATGGACTATTGCTCCAATTGAGTTAAAATTGAGAAATCATTTCTCCAATTGTGTTAAAGTTAAGGGACCATTGATACAATTTTCTCATTTGGTTTTTCATATTTGCCCTTTACTAACGAAACTGACGAAAAAAATGGTAGGTGCACGTTTTGATCACTATTGCGTGGGCAGCAAATAGTTTTATCTTATATAGCTGTGAGCATATAGACTCAATGAAACGGATTATTATGAAGGAAAACTAATGTAAAGAGCTTGAAAATTTTGAGTTTTAACGATAAGGACAAAATAAAAGGTAAAGTGAATAGTACCATGATTGACCTTTTAGTGTAAAAATGTGGTTCTTCATTAAAGTGAACAGTACCATGAGCTTTTCGTTAAAGTTCCCTTTATTTATGAGGTCAATCTTTTGAGTTATATGGCTATTAGATCGATCCAAATGTCAATTATGAGAGACACTGAAGAAGGCACCATAAATGTCAACGAGGTATGTAATAACGTAGTAGCTAATGTCATTCGTATTCATTAGATAGATAATATTGTAAATATTATGTGGATGGCCCACATGAATAGTTTGTTACTATTTATTCACATTATTTTCATTATTCATTTGTGGAAAATTTGTAAGGTGAATAGTGTCCTTTGATTATAAAATGAATGAGAAGAAGAGGAAGACTGAGGGTTCACGGGAAAGATGGGAATGAAAAGAAAGAAAGAAAAAGAGGAAGGAATGAAGAGGAAGAGAGAGAAGGAAGAGGAAGAGAGAAAATAGAGGAAGATGAGAAGAGATAATAGAGAGAGTTATCTTTGTACTCCTATTATTTCAAATTATAAGGAAAGCACCACTGCTGCCCCGAGGATGTACTCCAGTCACACTGACTGTAGAGGAACCTCGTAAATTTTGTGTCTTGTTTCATTTATTCCACTGCACCCACAGTTGATTTCACAACACGTTATCAGCACGAAAAGCTCTCATGTCAGTGGAAAGTACAACACCATAAATCTGGTGAAGCATTATCTACCTCTCACCTTGGTCAACTAAAATCTCATAGAGTAGAGACGGCAAGCCAGACATGTCAAACAGGGAAGATCATCTTGTCACAAAAATCCATCAACCTTTCTTTTATCACTTTTTCTTTTATCACTCTAACTATTGATATGCTAATCCTTATCTCTGCTAGACCTGCAATCTATTTTTTCTCGTGGACAAGAAAGATGGAGAGATCTTACAGACAAACAAAGGTGCAGCAAAACAAGCAAAGGTATGTCCATTTTTCGGTTCTCCTACCACGCCAGAAGCGTTCCACCGAATTTCGGTGCGAATTGAAATTTATAACGACCTGAAGTCGTCACGAGATAAGAAAACTCGTACCTGACAACTGGTTTCCAGAGATCTAGAAGAATCTCATTAGACTTGGAAACCCAGATCATGTCGTTCTCAATGGATCTCGAGGACCTCCATAAATCCTCAGTTGTCTGAGATGGTGATGGCATGACTGACTCCACACAGGCCTCCCTCTCTTGTGCCTTCGTCAACCTCACTGTCATCTATGTCTCTATGGAGAGGTTCTTGCTTTGCGATGCCATGTTCTTTGGGCCATGCAAGAACAATGTCAGTCTCTGGTAGCCTTTTTTTGGATTGAATTGGTTTTGTGTAACCCCCATAACAACCCAGCTGGTACTGGGTTTCGAGACTGGTAGAGATAGACAAAGAAAAGGGGAAATGAGGCCAATGATTTAGAAAGGTGCGTTGCACCATGTAAAATAAAAGAAATAAAACCAAAAGTTTTTGGAATGTTGTAGCATGTGAATGAATAAGAAAAATAATAATAAAGGTAAAGGTTTTTGGATGGTGTTACACCATCTGAAAAGAAAGAAGAAAATATGTATATATTTATTTATGTGCATGGTGTTGGTTTAAAGCCCATGTCACAAGTTCTATTTACTTTAAAACAATTTATTTATCATGGACGGTTTTACCGCCTACTGCTTTAAGTTTTGATTTATGTGAATGGTGCTGAATTAAAGCCCTTGTCACAAGCTTTAATTTATTTATTGCACTTATCTTTTGTTACAATGAGTATATATAAGACCTAAAGTTCATGATCAGATCAGAACCTGCAGTTTCTTGATCATCATCATATAAAAATGATTGGACCTGAAGTTTCATCATACAAAAAGGATCAGGCATGAAGTCCCTTGATCTTGAAGATCAGGACATGAAATTCCTTGATGAGTATCGTAAGTTTGAAGTGCAACAGTGCCTCAACTTAATTGTAATAAAAGACGTAAGAGTCTCAGTTCACATACTATTAAATAAGGACCAGAAGTTCCACATGTCTATACTCAAAATGGTTTAGCAGAAGCATTTATTAAGTGGGTGAAATTGATTACCAACGCTCTGCTCATGAAAACGAAATTGCCAGTTTTCTACATGGGGACATGTAAACTTTACATGATGCATTATTAATTCGGTTGAGATATGTTATCAACCATCAATACTTCTCAGTACAACTCGGGTTTGGGAACCAACCAAACATTATACATTTACGAGTTTTTGGTTGTGTTATCTATGTGCCTATTACACTGCCACTACGTACTGAAATGAGGCATCATCGCTGATTGGGCATTGA